GTTTTCCATTGGATGCATAACCTTTAAACATAGTTTTTATCTGCCAAATTACCTGCTACTTTCGCCCCTGCAAACATGGCGTCGCTTCACCGTTAATTGCGTCTTCTCTTTTTTCCTCAGCCAATTTTACAAAGCAATTCAATCGAGTGAAAAATGACTGGACGCGGAAAGGGAGGCAAAGGATTGGGAAAGGGTGGCGCCAAGCGCCATCGCAAGGTGCTCCGTGATAACATCCAGGGTATCACCAAGCCCGCTATTCGCCGTTTGGCCCGTCGCGGCGGTGTGAAGCGTATCTCTGGCCTGATTTACGAGGAGACTCGCGGTGTGCTCAAGGTAGGTCCTGAGGGGGAGGGGTTCTGAGAACAAAGAAAAACCAGTTGTAATCCCGGCGATAATTCACAGGTATTCCTTGAGAACGTGATCCGTGACGCGGTCACCTACACCGAGCACGCCAAGCGCAAAACCGTGACCGCCATGGACGTGGTCTACGCCCTCAAGCGCCAGGGACGCACCCTCTACGGTTTTGGCGGTTAAGCGCCCGCCCATGCCTCTACTTAATCACTAACCATGGGTTAACTTAACTACATTCAAATTACTTGATCCAATTGAATCTTAATCAGTAGTATTCACCATAAACTTAATCAGACGCATATTCAATAATTCCACAAATATACGGACTAAATAAATCAAAAGATATCGCGTAGAGAGCACAAAAGATGGGAATCCTTAATTTTTTTGGCGGTTAAAAGATACCTAGAGGTTAATGAAATCAAACCATAACCTGAAGGTGGCATTGATTTCGCAATAAAGAGTAATAACCATTTCGACAGCCAAGTTGCCACATTTAGAACAGAAACAAAAATTAAATATTTCACGTAGGGAGCACACAAATGGTAAATCTTTAATGGCAATCAGTAAGACCAATTTATATTTTTGTACATTTTTTGCGCAGCTTGTATTCGCAGAAGGCAGGACACGTGCAAAGAGGGGGAGGTTCCATTTTGTACTGGTACTGTCTGGGAGTACGACTGGAAATTTAGCTCTCCCAGTGGGGATCCCATCGAATCGAGTTGGCTGGTTTATGGTGGTACTGCTCCTTGAAGGAGCTGGCAGAGGTGTCGCTGCTCCTACTACGAATGGCTGCTTGGATTTTGAAAAGGGAAACTTAAAGTCCTGGCTCCTAGAAGCTTTGCTCCTGCTTCTTGAGCTGCAGATAAAATTCACGCGGGGAGATGAGTTTTCCTTCTTCATCTGGCGCATCGCCACCACCTGCATCACCATCTCCGCCACCGCCACCGGACTCGTCCGCCAGCGACAAAGATTCGGAGTGCTTGTGCCGCACAATGACCTGCATGGAGGAGTATTTGGAACTGCCCCGCAACGTGGAGTCCGTGGTTTCGGCCTCATAGTCGGAGTTCTCCAGCGTGGCATCGGTGGAGGAGATCTCTTCGTAGCTGGACATGTACGACTCCATTTGCATTTCGTTGAGTGGCACTTGATGACTGTCTTCAGGCCGGGGTTTGAGACGTTTTTTCCCCGGTTTGGCAGCGTTCGCTTTGCGCTCCAGGCAGCTGACGAACTGCGCCACATGGCCGTCGCCGGAGCCTCCGCCGCCGCCGCCGCGTTTCTGGGACAAAGCCTCGACCAGGTTAGAGGGCTTCTGCCTTCGGTGGGACCCGTCGCCCACGCCATTCACGTAGCCCTTCTCGTAGCCCCGCTTTACTGGTTGCTCATGCTCGTAGTTGTAGTTGTAGCCATAGCCCGTTTCGCCGCCTTCGCCCTCATAACGCTGACCGGGATTCATCATCGAACTATCGCCAATGTCTGACTCAAACTGCACAGCAGGATTCAGCTTGAACTGAGAAAACAAATATTAATGTCAACATAGAAAGCTTAACTTTCCACTAAAAAAAACGAAAGGATACTTACATCGCGCTCGTTGGCAAACTCGTGATCAGACTTAGACTCGCGATTCTTGTTCTTGTCCTCCTTGGGATTGTTCTCCACATACTTTATCTCGCTGCGCACCTTGCGCACCTGGAGCTGTTTGCGTTGCACGTGCATCTGCTGCTGGTATTGCTGCTGCTGCTCCTCCTCGTTTATTGGTTCCGACTCCGAAAGGCTGGCCTCCGCCAGCTCCTCCACTTCATCCTCCTCCTGTTCTTGCACTTCGCGTAGACTCCTCAGCTGCTGCTCCATGGAAGGATGCTTGATCTGCATGGGTGAGGATTGCTGTAGCAACTGCTGTTCCTTGCGCAAAGTGGCTATCTCGCTGCGGGGTGTGACCTCCGCACTGGTGACAGCGCTGTTGACCAGCCGGTTGAAGTGAGATTGTCGATAGCTCTGCGAACTGAAAAATAGAGGAAATTAGAAAATGGAGAGCTGCTAAAAAGAGTTAGTTGAACTCACTCCTTAACGACTTCCGGCATGACCTCGTTTCGCACCACATATTCCCTGGAAACGTTCGTCTGGGATCCTCCCTGCATGACCTTCTCCTGGATCATGTGGTTGGAATCGGATCGCATTAGCTGGTGGCTTAGTTTCTCGTTGAGCTTCTCGGCCTTCTTGCGCAACGTCCGCTCGAAGGAGAGCTGCTCCTCCAATGCCTTAGTGTGGGCCAGCAGCTGGGACACGGTGACCTTCTTGTTCTTGGGCAGGCTCTGCAGCCCGTTGACGCAACTCAGGTCGTACTCTGGCTCCTGTTTCTCCTCGGGCGGGCCACCCAGATGATCGCGAATGTTACGCTGCAGGAACTTGCTGATGCCCTCGTTGTTTCGCACATTGAACTCTGTGATGGCTGTGTTCAGCTCCAGGCAATCGAGGATCAGATTGGCCCCAATGTCCGTCAGGCCGCAGCCCTCCATGTCGATTTCTGTGGGGTATTTTAAGGGTATGGATAGCACTACTCGTACACTACTTACTCTTTATCCAGGCGTCCTCCTTTAGGACCTCAGTAATCCACCGGATGCCGTCGTCACCGATCGCAGGATTGTCCGCCAGCAGGACGGTGCGTAGTCCACCAATCGTGTTCACATCCACACTGCGGTAGCGCAGCGACTTCTCCCATCCTTCCGAAAATCTAGTGATCTTTTGCATCTGGAAATGCGGAATAAGATGGGTCAAATTACAAAATAATTTAGTGTTTAAGCCATAATACTAATAATTACAATTCATACTATTTTTAGGGACAATGCTTCAAATTAAAGTTATACCTATGTATGGACCTTCTTACCTTAAGCATATCGGCCACATGTTCGGCTCCCTTGGATGTGAGTCCGCATTCAGAGAGATCGAAGACCTCGATGCGATTCAAGTATTTCGCTGTGTTGCAGACCACTTCGCAGCCCTTATCACCAATGTTGGACTTGCGAAAACTCACTGTTTCGAGGCATTCGTTGTCGGCCAGTGACTGTGGAATAAGGTTTTTCAAGGGATGCTCTCGATCGGGTTTAACTCACATCTTACCTTGGCAATGGTTTCGATATAACCATCTTGTAGAGGCAGTCCCTCCAGCTTCAGAACGCTAAGGTTTTTGTTGCTTGAAACGCAGTTGGCAATCGCCTGAACCAGGCTGTTAAAGATGAAGCGCGTATAGATCACCGGTCGTTGGCGAAAGAGTCGGGCCCGCTTCTCAGTATCTATGGGATCGATGTTGGCTGCCGGGAAAATCAAAAAGGTCAGTTTTTCGTTCTATGATCATTGATTTCCTGTAGTTCTAGAAGTTATAAGATTAACTACCCTGCGGTTAGATTGACATTTTCTATGGAATGTCACCATTTTTCAAGGGACATTTTTTAAACTTTTTAACGTCTTCCTTTATTTAAAATCACTTACTTTGTGGATATGTTCGGCGCAGTCGCACCACCAGCTGCTGAAGCACCAGGTCATAGTGAAGTGCCTCGGTCAGGAGCTGCCAATCGCTGACCGCCAGCTTGTCGCCACACAGCTCCAGGAGAGTGGTGGTCGCATTCGACTTGCTACGTATGTCCGGCACAGGCGTCAGATTCTTGGCCCGGCACAGCTCCAGATAGCGGAAGTGAAATGAGCGGCTCTTGCTGGACTTCTTTACCAGCGGTGGAAGCGACACCACCACGGTGTTGCCCTTTCGCGTCAGCTCACCGGAGTTGCCTTTACGCATCATCGTCACTTGACTTATGGACATGTTCTAAGGAACTAGGGATTAATGTGGTCTTACATGAAGGTGAGGAAACTACATATATTTTCAATTCTTAATACTTGTAGGCTAGGAAACTATTTGTTAAGAGCCAAATGGTAAAACAGTTGGAAAAATACATTTTAAGCAAACTCAATCAACCCATCTTATTAGATACGATTTTTTTAAAAAGAGAGTGATCAGACATCATTTCATATGATTTCCCAACAAAAATATTTTTACTAACCAGTAATAAAAATATTTTAAAGTCAGTTTAGTTCATCGCTATTTTATAATACCTGTTTTATAATAGTTTTATAATAAATATCTGATATTTTGTCATCACTTAAGAGGCTAGGAGACATTATAGAGATATTTACAAGGATGTTTACTAAATGGGAGCAGGGAATAACTCATCTCCTGATATTACAATGCTGATAATACAAAATTGGTATTCATTTGGTGAATAGCTCTTTTGTTTAGACTAGCTGTAACCTTCAAAATTGCATAAGCCCACGCACTTCCGGTCTCCAGTGACCACCGTTGTCAAAGCTCCCCCAGACTTCCAGTGAGCGCAGAGTTACGATCCAGTAACAAGCTTGCAAATTGTAAACAAACCAAGCTCGCCCGCCGCCCACTTACCGGTGGAATTTACGGTTGGCTAATTACTCGCGTGCCTGCAGTCTCTCTTTTTTTCCAACCCGGCTATATCTTTCTCTCCCCACTAGGGTTGCCATGGCCTTTAGCGACAACTCGATTCGAGTAGAGCTATGAAGTCTCGTTAGCTTGTTTTCCAAACTCAACGTCAGTCGTCGAGCGGCTGTTGTGGTAAACACTTCGTCCAAAAAACGTTTTCGCGGAAAACACTTAACGGTTTTCGTGTTTCGAAAGTGCAAATAGCTTTAGTCGCTATTTTATTCATTCAGCCAAGAACTTGGTAGACTTCGTGTTCTACGGCACGTTCCGTTGTTATTAAGTGATCTGACCACCATCCAAGTTTCGAGGCCCCTTACCACTCTTTAAATTCGAGTTCCGGTTCGTGCATTGCCCAATTTCGAAGCGTGCGACACGTTTATTTTATGAGGTTTCATCGTGTACTCCATATGTGTGTTCTGCGGGGTTCTTGACTTATGCCTAATTACCAGTGACGTCGAAGCCTTTTCAAAAAATGTGTCAACCACGAAATTTGTCAGTTCTCTGGTAGTTGTTGAAAGACACTCGAGTGTGACACTGCAAGTGTTGGTTGGCTTCATATAATTAATCCCAAAGTGTGGAGTACCCCAAAAAAGGATACTCGGACTCAAGGAATATCTATTTTATAGGGTGTAAGTAAGCGGAACCGGTTTGCATTCGTGTCCTGGCATGTGGCTGGTTTTAAATGAGGGGAATAGTTAGGAGGCTTCTTGCATGGAGTTGTTAGGGGTAAAGGTATTAGGACCTACACCGAAAAAAAAGAACTCTGGGATATCAGAAGATATTATTTTATAGAAGTCTTCTTTTTTTATAAGGAGTGATTTAATGAGTGAAACAAAACATCATTTACAGAGTAGAAAACCCCACATATCTATGAATTATTTAGATGTATGAAAACATAGGTAAATATGTACAACTTAATTACGAAGCTTGCAATAATAAATGTTGAAAGGGAAATCAGGGAACCCTATATTATTAATTTCATAACATTTTTCAAAAATTTAAAAGGGTTCTCCTAGGGAATCCAATATATTATTTTCATATTTAATATTTTTAGGAACTTTTAAAAGTAGCCATATATCTTAGGTAGTTAATTCGCAACTAGGTTTTTTATTCGGTGCAGGGAGGCCTGAAGTTCAACCTCGAAGGGTTGGCCAACTTCTCTTCTTGCATTACTGCAAGTGAGGTCAGAGTTTGTGTCAAGGACTTGGCTGCTCTTCCAAGACCAGCCAGCCAAATAGATTGTTTAATTACACAAAATGAAGAAATACTTGCAAAGCAGATTTACAAATAGAAAAGTGCAAAAATCGAGCCGAGCCAGAAAAGGAGCCGGAGTGTAACGGACAAATTGCTCACGACACCAGCCAAAACATCTAAGCCAAGATCCAGAGCTTGGCTCAAAAAGTGAGACGGATGCGGGCGTCGCTTGAACCCGGGCTATGAGTCAAAAACCAAGCCACCGCAACGGAGCCAGCTCCCCTGCCCTCCCAAAGCTCCTTTTGTTTGTCAGCCAGCAAACAATTGTTGGCTGCTGGCGTTGAACTTGACTGTCGGAGAGACCCGCACATATATACCAGGTATATATGTACATATCGGAATCGATGGGCATGACAAAAGGGCCCTAATACGGGGGAGGAAGTGTTCAAATTGGAGTACTCGGAACGCCAGGGGCCCGATTGTTTGCTCGCGGGCCGGAAACTGGAGGCAACATTGGTCACAACACGATCCGCACCAATCTCAATCTGCAGCGTTGCACTCGGAGAAATATTTAGATTGGAAATGGATAAGATTGACCAGGTTTTGTAGTGGAAAGATAGCAGGAAATGTGGGTAGAAAAGATAAGAACACCTATGGTTATTGTTTTATAACCAATAAGTTTGTTAATCAATGTTAAAAAATAACCCTCTAAACAGGATATTTGATTGGTTTTTCATTATTTAGTTTTTATTTAATGTTTACTGCAATTTTTTGAAAGTAGGGCTAACTATTTAACATTTAAGATACTCGGATATTATAAAAGATCCTAGTTATAAGCTATTGTTAGCTGGTTTCCTAATTCTCCTAAAAAATTGTACATTCTCTAACATTCCATTTGGTTATATGTTTCAGTCAGTTCTTACGTATCTCTTGGTTACCAAGCTTTTTCGACTCTATGGCAAATATTTTTCCGAGTGTGCATATGTGACTGCCGCTCTCAGCCGGGCTTAACATATTTAATATAATTAAGTGAGCCCCTGCCTGGCTTGGAAAGTCATGAACCGGCGATGACTGGGGATGGTATGGGGCGGAGAAAGAGATCGGGGAACTTGTCGCAGCGGCAGACAAATCAAAATTGTTTATTGGGATTTCCATTTCGTAGGCGATTACCTTAAAGCCGAAAGTCGTTTTTTTTGCGGTTAGCTTTGGCCCAAAAGCCACAAGATTGGCGACGGTGGCCATTGGATACACCGCGCACTTTGGACACTTTTCGTGAAGGATTTCACTTTCGGCCCACTCGGACGGGGTCAGAACTTGGCCAAGCGTGAACCCTGCGAGCAGAGTCATTAGCACCGAAGTTCGCTCGGATTCGGATAGGGATTGGGATCCACATAGGTGTATCTCCAGGTCGCAGACATACCTATCTGAACTTGCTGAAAGGCACCGTCGTCATGGTGGCTGGGTGAAGTGTTTTGTTTGACTTTTCGGCGACTCCTCAGCCACTTCTGCCACTTTCCACTTACGTAAAACCGGGGGAAATGGCAGACCGCCAACTGATTTTGCCGATCTCGCTGGGGCGGCGTAACTTATTAATTTGGCTTAATTCAGTGGGTTTTAGCTGTGTGGAAAATTGGCAGCCATAAAGTGGAAGTGTGTCTTCCACTAATAAGGTTAATTAAACTAAATACGATTTTGAATGGTCTCATTTGGGGTAAAGTGATAGCCCAGAAATTAGGCTAAATTAAATGCATCGTTAAGCCTTGAGCAGCATTTTAATTTATTATATGATTTATTATATTGGCCTAATTAATTAGAAAGATATACGATTCTTTAATACGTATCTTTTGTCCTACTCCTTAAGAACCTAATCTAAGCACCTAAAGATTTTAAACAATTTCAAAAGGCCTTGGGTTTTGGTTCCTAAGGGTTAATGGGTTACAGGGCGTATGATTGATACTCACATATATTTACTCCAAGTCTCCAATACGTTTGAAACGGTTATGAAACTCACATGAACAATATATATCTGCAAGTACACAATGGCATAAACAATAAATATTTTAATACCCGGTGCCGATATAGATCTCCCCCGCACCCAAAACCATCGACAGATTTGATAACCCCGATTCGGCTGGGCCGATGCAGTGCAGCATGAAATTGCCTGGCCAGCGGAGCATCAGCATCCCCCTACCCATCCCCAAAACCCTGAATCGTCCAACTGACCAAACAACCCAATTGCCGTCGTTACACAAACTTGCTGGCCACGGATGCATGGATAATTATCCACGGATGGAGATGGAGAGAATCGGCCGCCCAAAAGCAGAAGATGCCGCAGATACAGATACTCGTAGTCGTAGTCGTACTCGTACCTCGGAAAATGTTGCATGCGGCGCGTGTTGAAAGCGAAATCAGGCGCGGATTATGATTACTTTTGAATCACTTAACCGTGATCAGTTAAGGCGACTCTCTAAACGACCTTGCTGCCTGATTTTCCCGCGATAAAGAGGTTGATGCAACTTGCCACAGAGCTTGGTAATCACCTATCCCAGAGATACACAAATCAATTACCGTCGTCGGAGGCATTTACGATGGCAGGCCATTAAGAAATAGCCAAGCAATTGCGAAATCAATGAACCACACACTTGGCAAATCTCGCGGATCTCCTGCTCCGATTGCAAATGCGCCTAACCGAGTTGAACTCGCAAACAATGGTTTTAATAATGCATAATGCATCTCCAACTCCAACTGACAGATGCAGTCATCGCTCTACCTCTAAAAAATATATATCTATATATATATTTCACACGCAGCCCCTGTGAAATGATGAAGAAGGGTTTATCACGAGTCTCCTCGTGTGGAGTGTGGCAACATCATTATTATTATCATGTTCCCATCATCTTTATATCTCTCTCTTAGGAAAAACTTTCAATTTTCACTCCACTTGAGCGAGAACTTATCCGCAATTTGTTCGAAATTTGCAATGAGACAAATCTGGCACATGAATAAGCCAAAGTAGTAATAATTGCCGGGCAGTTTAGAAAACGTTCCGGTCGTTAAACCTCGTACAAAATAACAACCAAAAACTAAAGCAGCCGCAAAACCCATAAAATTTCTTTAGCGGAATTCCAGGCTGGCGCTGAGCCAGCATTAAAGTAAACTGAAAGCCAATAAAGAGCTGACGCTTAATTAATTTCAGTTTTGAGCATAAAACTTTCGCAAAAAAAACAGATCCGCTGGCCAATTCTCACGCAGAACATACGGCATATAGAACACCTGTAGACACGCAGACTGCGAGTCCAGTTCCATTCAGATTTCTTAATGCACGACCTAATTGAGTTCGCTTTTATATATTTTTTGGACATGTAGCAATGGCAGAACGGGCACAGAACTTCTCTTGTACAATTCTCCACTTTGAGTTACCTTCTCGAGCGAAACTGGCAGCGGGTCATAGATCACAGAACATAAAACGTGCGACATATGTGTGGGGAAAATGGGTTAACACTTGGCTCGCCTCTTTCGTAACACTCTGTCTATTTTCTAGGTGTCGTCGTCGTCGCCGCCGCCCGATTTTACCTGTCATGAGCTAGTGCCTCTAACCAGTAACCCCACAATCTAAAAGAATGTACAACGAACCACAGTCGCAGTCGAGTGGCCATGGCATTGGCAGCATGGACTACAAGAAGGTTCGCTTAAAAGGACCAAGGCAGCGAAAATCCCCTAGTTATGTAAGCCCCATCCACATCCAAGTCATAATACTCACCGCACTAATCAGCTTGGTGGCCTCAAATCGCCCGCCGCGCTTCGCTATCGACGGGCAGTCAGAGATTGTACTGCGTCTTAAGGAGAGTCCTGAAACGAAAGTGGGTAAGTAAAGTTACGATTTTATATTTTTCAAGTCGAAATATGTAGGAGTAAAATTTTAAGAATTTGTAATAAGTTCCTAAAAATATGGCATGCTACTGCCAGAAGTAGTTGTGTAAAATGATCCTATGATAACCATATGTCATATAACAAAAGAAATGAAAATCATCTCCGAACTTAAATGTGCAACTTTAGATACAAGAATTCGAGCTGATATAAAAATGGTAGTGTGTCATGTTTTAAAAATTTAGAGATGAACTTACAATCTGCGACAAGTGCCAAATGTGATCAAGACTTCAATTTAACGATCTGATATCAAGCATCTTTATGTGGCATGTTCTAAAAATATTTGCTTATCACATTCTTAATATTTTTATCTTTTCGACCTTATCATTTAAAATGACTTGCGCTTAATGGTATACAATTTATTTCCTACATATATGAAAGATGCATTCTGTAGAACGACTGTATATTATTTATTTATAAATATATATTAATAGAATATTTTCCATTCTTTTAAGGAACCCTGATATACACGCTAAAGGGCTACGATCCGGACAACGATCCGCTGACCTTTGGCAAGCGCAACTCGCATGATAGCGAGATCATCAGGATAGAGAACACGGGTGGCAACGAGGCCAAGATCTTTTTGGCCAAGGAACTGGATCGCGAGCTGCAGGACGAGTATTCCATAGTGCTAACACTGACCGACAGTCATTACAGCGATCACAACTATGTGACGCAGAGCTTTTTGCTCCTGGTTGAGGACATAAACGATAATGTTCCCACCTTTCTGCCCTACCAAAATGCCATCGAAATACCAGAGGGCAGTGCTCCGGGAGTGGTGAGCACGCTGGAGGCCACGGATGCGGATGAGGGCGCCTATGGCCAGGTGGTGTACTATCTGCAAGAACTGGATGGAGATAATGATGTGTTCAGCATAGCCACCCATCAGGGTAAAGGCATATTGAGGTTGCAGAAGGAGTTGGATTACGAAAGGAAGAGTCTGTATCAGCTGAGAGTGCTGGCCATCGATCGTGCGAATCAGGGACCCATAAACACTGGTACTGCTGCCATTCTGGTGAAGGTTAAGGATCTGGAGGATCAGCCCCCGGAATTCGTAGAAGTTCAAGCAGTGGCGCGAATCGCCGAAGATGCTCCTGTGGGCACAAAAGTTCTGAGAGTTCGGGCCATTGATGGAGATCGTGGGATCAATAACCCCATAGCATATTCCCTGGAGGCCAATGATTTATTCGACATAGATCCGCACACGGGAGTAGTTCACACGCTCACTGAATTGGATCGAGAGGAGCAGAGTGATCAGGTGAATGGTGCCCACATCTTACGGATTTCAGCCACCGAGCTGTCCAAATCGAATACCCAACTGGCACCCACAACAGTTCGGACTGAAGTTACGATTATAGTGAGCGATGTGAACGATGAAATACCCACTTTTGCAGAAACCGTATATCGCTGTGAGGTAAATGAGAACGCCCAGACCAACACCCCGCTTAATTTCATCGACGAGGAAGTACAAAATGTGGTTTTCGATCATGATGAGGGCAACAATGGCACCTTTCGCTTGTTCCTGGATCCGCCCAACGACCTTTTCGAGATCGTACCCGAGTTGGCTGTTAATGAGGCCAACTTTATGCTGCGGGTGAAGAACTCAAAGTCACTCGATTTTGAACAGTTCACCGAGGTCAATTTTACCATATTTGCGAGGGAGGTTGACGAGCCCAGTCGATGGAGGTGGGTTCTTACACCTAATATTAGATTATATTACAGAATTTCTAACATTTGTATCTATTATAGTTCCGCTCATGTGCAGATTTTTATAAGAGATCAGAACGACAACTTCCCGGAGTTCAGTCAGACGATCTATAATGCCAGTGTGTTGGAGAACAGTGAACAGGACACGATTATAACCCAAGTACAGGCGGTGGATGTGGATTCGGGGGATTACGGAACTATGGGCATACGATACACCAACCTCAGAGGAGGCATAGCTCACTTGTAAGCACTTGTAAGAATCCTTTACATCTACCTAGTAATACTCTTTACTTTTCTTTTTAGACTCAATCTGAACCCTATAACCGGAGTCATAACTATCAAGCAAGCAGGTGGCACAGCCTTCGACCGTGAGATCATTTCCCGGCACTATCTCACCGTAGAAGCCATCGATAGCGCTGGTCAGGGTAACAGGAATACGGCCCAAATTATCGTGGACATTCTGGATGTCAATGATAATGCTCCAACTTTTCCCCAGCGACAATACGAGACCAAGTTGCTGGAGAACCAGGCCGAGTTTGAGACGCCCTTGCAATTGGAGGCTAGAGATGCTGACCTCAATGGCACGGAGAATAGCCAGGTGACCTACGAGATTGTGGAGGGCATGTACCGCTCGAACTTCACCATAGATCCGCAGAGTGGCCTGCTGCGACCGGTGCACCGTTTTGACTTCGAGGAGCTGGTTGAACGAAGCAGTGGAAGCAGGAGTGATCCCCAGGCGGGAGGATCTTCAAGCATCCGGGAGATCGATCTCTTGGTGAGAGCTCGCGATTCCGGCATTCCCATGCTCTCCACAGTAGTTCCTGTGCTAATTTACGTGCAGGATGTGAACGACAATGCGCCCATATTCCAGCGCAGTTTCTACGCAAAAACTATTCCCGAGGATCTGCCGGGTGGGAGCTCGGTGCTCCAGGTTACAGCTGTAGATCGAGATGGATCCTCGCCCAACAACGCTGTGGTCTATCGCATACAAACTGGAGCCAGCGACAAGTTTATCATTAACTCAGAAACGGGCGTTATATCGGTGGCTCAGGGAGCCAATCTAGATCCAGATCTTACGGACAGCAAGAGATCGCTTTATACCCTCTCAGTGGTGAGTCCACAAGCGTTTCCCTTTAATTTTCCCTTACTATTTTAAATACATTTTCTTTATATAGATTGCTCTAGATGGCGGCTTGGGCAACTCCCAACTTATGACAACTTGTACGGTGAACATCAGCATTCAGGATGTGAATAACAAGCCCCCTGTTCTAACTGAAATGCCCGCTTTGAAGATCGTGGAGAACACTCCTGTGGGCACACTGGTCTATCGTATCCGGGCAACGGACTTAGACCAGAAGGCCATCCTGCGGTACAAACTGAACCCGGAACACTGTGAAGGTCGCAGTGAGGAGGGCGCGTTGGTAAAAGCCAGCGAGTACGACTTTCTGGGCGCATTTGAGGTGGATCCCATCGAGGGAAGCCTCAAGGTGATCAAACTGTTAGATCGCGAAAGGGTGGAGCACATTAAACTGGCCACTACGGTGGAGGATCTGGCTGCTGCTAAAGGCAGACAGATTGCTGAAGGTAGGTTCTTTAGGCAGAAGGATCACACATGAAGTAATGATATTTTCCTTTAGGTTTCCTGAGCATCCAAGTGCTGGATGAAAACGACAATAACCCCAAGTTCCGACTGCCCTTCTACCGCCAATCTATAACAGAGAATAGCATAAACGGAGCCATGATTGTGAATGTGCTGGCCGCTGATGTGGATAAAAATCGTACCATAACCTATGCCCTGGAGGGGAATCCCACCTATCGGTCACTGATGCACCTGGATGCCCAGACGGGGGAGATTGTGGTGGCCAGCAAGATTGATCATGAGCAGCACCAGTGGCTCAACTTCAGTGTGAGGGCCACGGACTCCGGAGTGCCAGCCAGATCCTCACTTGTTGATGTTTATATAACAGTTCTGGATGAGAACGATAACAATCCCTACTTTGTGGGTGGCAGCAAGAACTATACGATCAGTGAGAATGCACCACCTGGAACCAGAGTGGCCACTCTGCAGGCTGGGGATGCGGATTCGGGTGACTTTGGCAAGATCACCTTCCTGATGGATCGCATCAGTTCGCAGGGAAAGTTCACCATAGATGCGGATACTGGGGTGCTAACGGTGGCCGATCGCCTGGATAGGGAGTCGAAGGACTCCTACAACCTGGTGATCGAGGCCTGGGACAACTATCAATTCGGTTTCCTGGCCGGAGAAAGTCGGAATGCCTTTAAGCAGGTCTTGTAAGTTAATTTAACTTCTTTAATGGAATACCTTTATCATAGTCTTATATCGTAGCATTTCCCTACTGGATGAAAATGATAATCCTCCGGAGGTTAGCCTGCCCGTCAGTTGTGTCCTAATCACCGAGTATCATGAGCTACATGAGCGAGTTGCAAGTATAGTGGGTAAGGATGCTGATGATCCGAGTACCCCTAATGGAAGACTGGACTTCGCCATCACGCAGGGCAATAAAGACGGTAGGTCAAATTAAAACAAGTCAAGTAATTATAAGTACTTAGATTTCACTTTACTTTCAGGCATGTTCGAACTGCGTCAGCTAGACGCTTGGAATGCCCAGATCTTCGCTAGCAAGAGTCTGCGCAATAGGTTTGGAAACTATAGCCTCACGATAACCACCCGAGATATGGGTCTACCGGCAAATATTGTACATAGCACGCTGGACATTTGCGTATCTGATTTCAATGATCACGCACCGGTTTTTGTGAGACCACTACATAACACAACTGTTCGGATTCCGGAAAACGCAACTGTCGGCACTCTGATACTCCAGGCTTTTGCCAGTGACGCAGATATGGGCCAGAATGCTTTGGTTAGATATCGCCTCAAACCCGATCCCTTGGGGAGCTATAAGATGTTTGAGGTGAACGCCAACTCAGGCGAACTCTTCCTACGAGAGCCACTGAATCGTGAAAAGCAGAAGATTCATGAGGTATGTATAATCTAAATATTGGAATTTTTAAATGACTTATATTTTATTAATATTTTTTTTAAATACAGATCCGCATAGAAGCCTACGATCAGGGACTACCCACCTCGCTTAGTTCCGACTTGGACCTCACCATCTATGTGCGGAATGTAAACGATTACGAACCGCAATTTATTGTTAACGAAATATCCGTGAACTTTACGGAGCACTCAGATCCAGGATCGGAAAGGATAAAGCTACCCGACACCATAGACAAGGATCAGTTGGAACTGGACGACCCGAATGATACACCGAGTCAAGTGTGCTACTTTATAGTGAGTGGAAATGAGGCGGGATATTTCCGAATCGATCCCGAGTCTCACATACTGACTGTTGATCGCGAACTGGATCGTGAGGTGATGGCGAATTTTACGCTTTATGTTCGGGCCACTGAGAACTGTGGAAATGATTCTCTTACTGGCGGTGGAAAACGTCGTCGTATGGGTATCGAGATCAACAACAGATTGGGAGGCTTTTTGCATAATCAGCAGATTGGATATGATCGCTTTAAACATTCCCGCCAACTGAGATCGCCGGAAACTAACGAGTACGAAGCCGAGGATGGAGAGATGGCATCATATGAGACCTATGACAGCAGTCAGGAGGATCAATCTGGCGCATTAGCACCTACTCACCCAGAATCCGATAGCACTGTGGTGAAGGTTAAGGTGCGAGTGCTGGATATCAATGATAATCCGCCGCGGTTCCGTTCCAAGATCTTTACTGGTGGAATAACGACAAATGCGGATTTTGGTTTGAAGTTCATGAGGGTGGAGGCCACGGATGCTGATGAGGGGGAGAACGGAAAGATTGGATACTACCAGGTTGGTGAGATCCGTCAGACTCTCTCCGAAGGACTGGAGAATGTGCGCAAAGCGCCTTTTCTTCTCGATCAGGAAACGGGAGAGGTACAGCTAAACTTTGACCCGCAGAAGGGTATGAAAGGGTATTTCGATTTCGTGGTCTTAGCCAATGATACATCGGGAATGAAGGATGTGGCCCATGTGTTTATCTACTTATTGAGAGAGGACCAGAAGGTGCGCTTTGTGTTCAGACTTCAGCCGGATGAACTACGATCTCGAGTGGACTCTTTCAGGGAGTAAGTAATGGCTGTGCTTTAAGCAAGAAAAACATCTAACATTACTCCATCTTCCAAACTTTTAGTACCCTGGGCAACATCACTGAATCCATTGTCAACATAGATGAGATTAAGGTCCATGAGAACAAGGATGGTTCGGTGGACAAAACGAAAACAGATCTGTATATGCATCTAGTCGAGCGCGAAGACAACTCCATTTATGATGTAACCGAGGTGCTCAAGCTGATTGACTCACACATCGAAAGCCTGGATGGTCTTTTTAAGGAGCTTAATGTGCTGGACACGCAGGCGGCGGAGGCTCAGCTCCTGACCGCCGGACCCACCCGGGGACCATTATTCGTGTGGCTGGTGTTTACCAACCTATTCCTGGCCACTCTCCTGGTGGTCACCATTGCCCTTTGTGCCTCGCAGAGGAACGGGTACCGCAGGCAGCTCAGAGCTGCGAAAGTCAATATATTCCGTGAGTAACGTTTACTACTTGGGATAAGCAAATGATATATTAATTTTAATTTTAATAATCTAATCCCCTTAAGGTGGTCACTCCTCGATGTCCCTGCAACATCCCCAGGAGCCCGCTACTCGTGTGCCGAATACCAACAAGCACAGCGTCCAAGGGTCAAATCCCATTTGGCTGAAGGGTTACGACAACGAGTGGTTCAAATCAGAGGAGACTGGCAGGTGCGATAACAGAAATCACCTAATCCTAACATATTCCTATTTATAACATTTAAATCTCCTTAGTATTGGTGGCCACGACTCACTAGATGATAACTTTCTGGCCGTGGCTACGCAGGACATGCACGAAACCCTCAAGGGAACCGCGAAGTTATTCAACAACAGCAATGATCTAAATCGACACTTTAATTTGTACAACCAAATCGACAAGTTGACCAACAATGCTCAAATCCTGGCCCGAAAACTGGAGACCACGGAATTATAGCACAAACAGTCTGCACTATTTATTGTACTTAGACTAGGCTAGGTTAGGATAAGCTCGTACAACCCATGTAAATATATCGGAGCTCTAATTACAGTTTTAGTCCTGCTATGTCCTACGGCATGCAACTTCGTACAAAATAAGGAACCTATATCAAGTAAAAAGTAATTATCAGACATTTATATGTTTAATTTTTAATCAACTATTCTTTAATACTTAAGGGAGAACTTTTTGTGTTTTCAGGGGTCTTCAGTAAATTACCTTAGTAATAACAAAGAAAAAGTTTGGAGGATTTGAAAGACAAGAAAAAGGTGACGATGCTCAAAAATGAACCTATTTTATGCCTACATCTAGGCGCTTGAGGAATTTAAAACGGATGAATTTTCCTTACGAAGTTGATCTACACTTGCGATTTGAACGGCTAATTTTTTTCTCTTTGACACCAGGGCAACACAATCCGTAGCAGGTTACTGTTGGACGCTAACATTTTCTTGCTGGAAGACAACCGTTAGCTTAGTATAAGCAGACTAGAGATGGGCAATCGCTTGATCGGCAACAAAGCCTCCACATATTTTGAAGTGGCACACCTCTAGATAGGCCTCAAAAACTAATCGTTGGCCACCTACGAATTTTCCTGTTCCCCTGGTGTTTGAAATTGAAAAATCACAAATTTACTTTAATAAATTAAAAGGATTCGTAACATATTTTCTATCAAAATGCTGGATTTATGGGTCTCAGACACCAGGTAAACAGAAAACTTAGCAAGTGGCAGCTGGTAGCTAAAGAGGAACTTAAATTACTGTTAATTTTCAAAATGGCGGCCCTTTCCATATTTCCCCTCCTCCACTGACCAATAGGAATCTATCACCATGGGAAACAACCGTTGGTTTAAGACAAAGTGTAGATCAGAGATGAGCAACTATGGCTGTGTCACGAGCTTGTCACGATATGCACGAAATAAAAGTGAAGTCCTATGCATTTGCATAGGTCGTGCCAAAAGTAAGCAGTCACGAGGGCATCTCCAATTAGCTTAAATTAAATGAATCAGCTGATCGTTCCTCCACCTGCTAAGCGTTTATGTTCGCCTGGTGTCTGATTTTAAGAAATTTAGCATTTTGACAATTTTCTCGACCAGCAAAAAAGTAATTTTTCAGTCAAAGTGCTGGATGTGTGTCTCTCAGACACCAGGCAAACAGAAATTATAGCAAGTGACAGCTGATCGCTATAAGCTAACTTATTTTCCAAATGGCGGCCCTTTCCATATTTCCCCACCCCCACTGACCAATAGGAATCTATCATTATGGGAAAAAACCGTTAGTTGAAAGCTAAGCGCAGACCAGAGATGGGCAACCATGGCCGTTTCACGAGTTTGTCACGATATGCACGAAATAAATGTGAAATCCTATGCATTTGCATAGGCCGTGCCAAAAGGAAGCAATCACGAGGTCATCTCCAAGTGAGCTCTGTTAAAACTGATCAGCTGATTGTTTCTACACCTGCTAAACGTTTATGTTCGCCTGGTGTCTGAAATTATGAAATCTACCTCTACAGTCTAAATAAGCGTCGAAGTTGGTTTTTTTTTCGGAGCCAAAAGTATGGGGCCAACATGCGAAAATTGGTTAACCAAATTATACTTACATATATGTAATACATATGTACATATAAAAATTTGAAATATGTTATGGATCTTCTAGAAACTTGCTATTTTTTTAAGCGAATAGATGATAGTAAACTTACCTTTGGCTCAGGTCCTTAGATAGAAAACAGTGGATAGTCTTCTGATGATATATGATGATATAAAAAATATACGTATACAGCACAACTGTAGCGAAGGAATCCATGTTAGTGGAGGATGGAGGAGCATATGGCGCCCACTTACCACGCGTAGATGTCCCCGTGGCGCCGCTCTCAAAACAGACGGCAGCTTACAAACGTACAAAAAAAATTGTCTAATCGGGGAGTCGGCAGCTCAGATAGGCATTTGCATGCATCACAACCGATAGCAAACGGAATGCCTGCTGAGATATGATATGATAGTCTTAGGAACACGAACCACAGAGGAGGGAACTGCTATCATCACTCACCTTTGAAAACGGGAAGGATCCGGACCAGATCTGGTCAGTTGGCTCAGTTGCGCTGTGCTGATGGCTCGCTCCGATTAGATTTGATTCGGTTGGTGGTCGAGCAAGGAACACAAAATAGAAAACAATAATTTTCAAGGTAACCTCTGAATTTAAAAGCTCGACCGCAACTCGACGAAACGCACTGAAAGAAACCTTGGCAGGTTATGCGGGTTTCTCAATCGGCGATTCTGCGGACGTTTTTGTATTTTGTTTTCGGGAGTTACTCGGAGTATGTGTCAAGGGAAAACGGAGAAAATTATGTTGTTTAACGAATGTAATGCTCTGATTGTCTGGCCACCGCCTGCCGAGATCCGCGTCCCCATTTTCCGGTTCCCAGCTATCAGTTCCCCCTGTTTCAATGACAAGCCTGGTTGCTTTGGTTTTTTTTACTAAAAATATTGTATTATATTTTCAGGGTAAAATATTCAGTTGCCATAAAATCAATCAATTCTTTTTTCATTTGCTTCGATTTGTTTTATTTTTTTGTTTCGTTTTCTTAAAGTATTTTGTTTCTTTTTTTTCGTTTATAATAGTTACACAAATTAGATCACAAAAATGCACGTAAATTACAAAATGAAATTGTACCTCATACCGAAAACATAGACAAAACTTCAAATGGTGGAAACGAGGCGGCTACTGGAGGGATGCGGGTTTGTAGGTTCATCGCTACAGTTCTTATAAAGTAAGGTTGGTTTTTGTAACAAAAATAGGGTTTAAAGCATATAATCAAATACATAGTTTCGTAGTTTCGCTACTAGAAAAGAACATAAATTTTGTTCGCGTCACTTGCACAGCGAAGTAGATCAGAGTAAAGTAATTAGTAATCAACCCGGTAATCGGTAGTCAACCAACTCAAGAACGAATTCATACAGTTATATCTTAATAGGGAATTAAAGATAGAGAGTGAGAGTGTGGGAGTTAATCGTATATCATATATTACAGAGTTCCATTATGTTTAAAGTAGTTCCTTCTGCTCCTATCGTTTCGCTTCGATTTCCGCATGGCCCAAACGAAAATCCCAATGAAAGATGCATGTGTTCGAGTGTGCGATGGGTGCTTCAACATAATGCCAAGTCGATGCGTGTGATACATATACAAATACATAGTTATCTAGTGTTATTAAACGTTTTACGTACATTTAATACTTTCTTAGATTCCATGTGACAGATGAGAAATGAAATCTTACAATGGATGGGGATGGAATGGTTGGGGTCTGAACTTCTTTACGTTTTGTTTGAGGGCTGTGATTTCGGGATCGGGCTCCAGTGAGTGGTATATATCGTATTTTAAAGCGTAACAGTTTTCTTGCTTGTTTTGTGTATTGTTGTATAAATATATCTCGTTTTATAAGTGGTTGCTTGTCACTAGACTAAAGAAAATTACATTTCATTTATGTTCTATTTAATATTTGTTAATTTACAGAATCTAGATAGACGAACGCAAGGTAAAAACTCAAAAATTGTCGGTCAGCCTAATTTTGCTTTTAAAATTTGTTAGGCTAAATTAAAATCGAACAAAGTTTCCGGCCATGGCGCAATGGCTAAATAAAAGAGCTTAAAAATAAATCGAGTTTACACTTTTACATTCTGTTGATTTTTTTGTTATTGATTTTTCTTTCTTTGTTTTGTGGGTTGGTTTAAATTAAAGCTTACACTTAAACGTATGTGTACAGATATATTTAAGTAGTATTATGTATATATAGCTATATTTTATGTATATAAGTATATATAGTTGTATATATATTTAGTAATACGATTCGCGGTTTCAAACTAGTCCCTTGTACGTTGTATGTGTGTTGGTGTGGGTGTAGGTGTGGGTGTGTGTTTCGTGCAAACCAAGAACTAAACCAAACTAAAACTCTTCTGCTTCTTTTTTGATTTACTCGAAACTGATTGCAATCCTCGTTTGAGTGTAAGGTGTTCTTGTTGTAAATGCGCTCACAAAATGTTTAAACAAATTCTAGGCTTACTTAGGTAAACGAACTCTTCACTGTGTAGCGTTCGTGATTTAATTCAGAATTCAAATTTGTTGCTAGATTTCCTACTATTTCGGTTTCATTTTATCTGTTTGCTCCTGGTATCTTTCTATAATTTTTCGATTTATATGTATAATAAAGCTGCTCTCTACAATCCTTTGTTGGCTCACTAACAAATTAAGTTTACTTTAAGAGTTATGTAATGCTACAGTTTCCCGCGAATTTACATATTTAATGCTTCCGTGTACGATTACATGTACATTTCATTCTTATTGTTGTTTCATTAAATTGATTTAAATATTTTTGGACATTTTTTCAAAGTTTTTTAATTTTTGTAATTTTTTTTTAGGTTTTTCACATTAACGCATAACTATATGGTTTTCTTGAATGTTATTTAATTATGCATATAACTTTTAAGCAGCATATAGAAGATTGTGCCGAACCAGAATCGCAGTTATAAAATTGCCAAAAGAAGAAAATACCGAAATACTCTTAGCGAAAGCTGCCCGAAAGTGAATGGGAAATATTTAGTTTGGAAAATCTCTTTCTCAGTGAACTCTGAACTGAAGGCCCTAAATCCGACCTGATGCCGGAATTAGGTCTGCACCAGGCCCCGGATGTCGGAGGCGCCGTTGCTGCTGCTGTTGCCGCCGCCGCTGCTGCTGTCCACGAACAGAGTGGCGGCATCTATGCCGGATGTGTTCGGCGAGTGCATCACAGCATCGGCTAGCAAATCGTCGTTAACGTCCAGGAAATCGTTAAGAAAGGCGCTGTCCGCCGAGCCGCCGATCGTCTGCTGCAGACACTTGAGGTTCTTATCGGCGATCTCCAAGGCCCGATCCATGGCCTCGCACTCGGCTTGTTGCACTGCATCGGCACAGGTCCAAGGCGAGGTGGAGAGCGATGGCGGCGACATTGGCAGCGGAGGCACACATGGATTAGTACAATGAATAGCTGAACAAGGAAAATTGTGGTTAAATACACACCGGATTGGAACAGCTCGTTGAAGGCATCGTCCGGCAGCGTGTCGAACACATTTACCAGATCGTGCTCCTCCAGCAAGTGGGCGCCATTCAAT